TTCACAACAGGGGAATCGGTCAGAAGGTTCTGATCATTAACTCCTTTAGAACCAAAAGCATGCCACCCCTGACATATACTAAAGGTATTGCCAAACTTTCAGGTATCCAAGGGATAAAAGAGAATACTGAATATAAATGTTATGCTTTAAGGAAATGAATTCAGATTTAAAGAATAAAAGGTTATGACCATTTGAAAGAAAAAACAATATTAACAGCTTTTAAATCAGGTAATGGCTTCAGCGTTACCTACTTATGAGATCAATTAACCCCTTAACGCCGTTGCGGCATTCTATGCCGTCGCGGCTTTAAAGGGCTTTAAAGATTTACTTACCTCCGCCGCGATCCTCTTCTGGAGGGCTGCCTGACAGCCCAGGCAGCCCTCCCCGGCAAATGAGGCCCCTGGGGGCCATGTGATCGCTCTCAAAGAGCGATCACATGGCCCCCTATAGCTGGCTGTGGATCTGCCAGCAGGGGGGCTGTCTGAAATGTGATCGCATAGTGGCTGTAGAGCAGGTTATGAGGGAGTTGCTGTGATCACATTTTGCACTGCCTACATTCCTCCCTCACAATTTCTGTACTGATGCTCAGAGCAGGAATATGATGTCACCCCATAACCAGCATCAGTACTGAACTGCAGGGGGCTCTGCATCCAGTGCACAGAGTGATCCAAGTAGCTTCTCACTGGACCCCAGGAAGGATGCTCCATTCCATCTCTCCCAAAGAGAAAGGTAGGAATAGCCTGTGTGGATCTCATTTTTGGAGATCATGTGTGTATAAATATGAGCTTATCTGTGTGTATATATACAGATGTGATTATGTGTGTAATTTCCCTAACAAAAGAAGATTGGAGAGTGCAGAGCGACACAAAAAAAATATGTTAGTGTTCATTGGCGGGGTGCCAACATGTATTTCCTTCCCAGGTGCCAGTAACCTAGATACAATATGCAGGAGAGAAATAAGTGACAGAGTGATTGGGTGATTTATGTTATCATTATGATTTAAAAAGGAGCCAAACAACTTTGTGATAATAAATGGCTTTTATGATCACTATCCTTCAATAAAATACATTTTTTGCATGATCAGTCATATTTTCAAAATCAATATGTCACAATTTCCGCCAGGATATGCAATTCTTTTAGCTCAACTAACAGATACATTACAATAACAAATACATATAAACATGTGGAACGATACAGAGCTAAGATGAAACTGCTAGGTAAATATTATAGGTAGAAACACATACAAACACACACTCACACTGATAAGGAAAACAGTTAGATACAAACACATAAACAGAGGAAGACAGAGATAAAGGTGCAAATTCAGAGATACAACATAAAAGAATAACTGGGGAGTATAGTATCTGTAAAAGGTTTTGGAAAAGTAACTTTGTTGAAGTGAAAAAGAGAACAGAGAAGAGGATATAGGACATTTTGAAGATTAAGAGGTAGAAGATGGAAGGATCAAGGGTGTAGAAATATTTTTAAACCGAAGCCTCTCTTTATTATGGTTTGTAGACATACAACTAGGTGTAAACTTTTTGTTCCACTCTGTTTTCCAGCTGACCGGCTTTTGTTTGGATTTTTGCCTTTTCAAATTAAATCTCCTAATTTTCATATCTGGACCATACTGACCAAGTTATTATACAAAGGTTATCAAGGTTATGAAAATGACCTCTTTATCGGCCATTCTATGCCTGTTTCTTGCTGTACCTACAGCAGGTAAGATCTTTCATAAAAATACCGCAAGCAGTCCACATACATAAACATAACACCACAGACATCCCCACATGCATGACTTCCACAAACACAAGCAGCCACACATACGTAACACAGCAGGTAGCCCATGTTAACTTCTGTTCCTCACTAAACATACTGAGGTGTGAAGAAACACTACACTTGCTTTACTGTAATATCTAGAGTTTAAGGCAGCAACCTGTGGCATGAGGTGCCTCTGTATGGTATGCCAGCCTGCCAGACCAGTTGTGGAGATCAGATGATCTCTCTGGCTCACCCAGAGCTCTACAGTGCCCAGACAGCAAGGTTGCACCCACCATGTGCAGACACCACAGGGAACATTACCTTGCAATCTGGTGATTCTCCATGATTCAGAGCATTGCCATGACAAATTTGTGATATACATAGATATACAAGACATATTGCAAAATCAACAATCAGACAAGATAATTGTGCAAAAATAAAAGTAGTGATTTATTATAGAAGATATAAAATTATGTAGAATAAAATATAGAGTAAACAATTATTGAATGCACAGATTAATTCTGATATAATTTAGAAGTATATGTCCATATTAAGTGTGTAAGATGCAATATCAGTATAAACAAACAAGATGACAGTACAGATATTATGGCATCATAATCACAAAGTTATGCAGTTTATAAACACAATATGACATTAAACTCATAATACCAAAATATGCACCTTTTAGTAGTCTCAATTATCTTAGGCTGAAGTAGGATGTATAGATAATACTATTTTCTGACAAGTATAGTAATACAGTGTCTCAGTGACATACTAAGGGGGTGGGGGGCAGTCTGCCCCGGGTGCCACTCACTAGGGGGGTGCCAGGGGCAGACTGTGTCACCAGGAAGGGGCCCGTTGGCTTGCACTATATGCCGCTGGGTGCGATGCCCCTCCTGCGCCCAGTGAGCAGAGCTGCAGACCATGTTTCACACGAGCTCTGATCAATCAGAGCATTGCCGCGTGTTACCACGGCAACGCTCTGGCTGTGTCTCGCGAGATTCACGGTCTGCAGCTCCGCGGAGCTGTAGACCACATATGATGCCCACCGGACAACCAGGGAGCCAAGGAATTTAGTCCCCCCCACTATCCCATCACCCCCCCTCAATTACCCCCTTCTCACATCACCCACCTCTCCAATTACCCACCTCCCTCTCAATCACCCCCTTCTCACATCACCACCATCTCCCATGAACCCCTCTTCCTCTCATCACCCCTCCATCTCAATCACCCCCCCCCTCAATCACCCCCTTCCTCTCACAACACCCCCACTCTCATCATCACTCCCCCATCATCACCCTCCCTCACACTATCAGCCCCCTCTCCCTCTCACATCACCCCCTCCCTCTCACCATCACCTCCTCCCTCACACTATCACCCCCTCCACAACATTATCCACTATACAAGCACACACACTGCATCCACTACACAAACACACACTGCATTCACTATACGAACACACTACAAACACTATACAAACACACAGAGACACACACTTATACATGTGTGTGTATCTGTATGTCTGTGTATCTGTTTGTGTGTTGATATATATATATGTATCTGTTTGTGTGTCTGTGTTTGTATCAGTGTGTCTGTATGTGTGTGTCTCTATCTGTATGTGTCTGTGCCTGTGTTTCTCTCTCTGTGTGTCTGTATGTGTGTGTTTCAGTGTTTGTCTGTATCTGTGTATGACTGTGTTTCTATGTAACTGCATGTGTGTACCTATGTGTCTGTGTATGTGTGCCAGTGTGTGTATATGTGAGTATATGTGTATATGTGCATACATCTCAGCATTTTTGCTTGCACTACACACAAATACAACCCTGCATCCAAATGTCAACACTACATAAAAACACACCATCATATTCAAAAACCACACTACAGAAAAGTGCACACTTGCATTCAAATTCCAATACGTGCAAACACACCCATACATTCCCTCACACATACTCCATACAAAAACATGCTTGCATTCAAACACACAAACACTGCTCAGTGCTAAATACATAAAAACAAATTGTGGGTGTTTTCTACATTTTTTAGCTGGGGGATGCCAAATATCAGATCTGCCCCGGGTGCCAAAGGCTCCAGGTATGCCCCCGTAGTGTCTCTCATTAAAATATAAGAGAGGAGATAAATTAACTCTGATGGTTCAGCTCCTAGGCACAGGTATATGGGTCAATTATACTAACATTATGCGACAATATGATTTTTGGGAGTATATCAATGGCAAACAAATAAAACTTCATCTAGATTTTCTGCAGTAAATATATACAAAATTAATGGTATAAGGATATCTCTAATCTCCCGACCAAATCGTGATATAAAACAAAGACATACTTTGTAACTAGAATAAATAGGGCTTGAAATAGGAATGTGTCTTAGTAATAAAGAGTCTTAGTAAGAGTCTTACACAATGAAGGGTATGGAATGATCCTTTCATTTTTCAATTTCTGTCTTTAAAGTTTGTAATAAAGGTAAATAGTTAAAGGGACACTACAGTCACCAGAACAACTATAGCTTATTGTATTTGTTCTGGTGTGTAGAATCATTCTCTTCAATCTTTTTGCTGTAAAGACTGTTTTTTCAGAGAAAATGCAGTGTTTACATTACAGTCAAGTGATAACTCCACTGGTCACTCCTCAGACGGCTGCTAGATGTGCTTCCTGGGACAGTGCTGCACAGTGAGCAGCACTGCCATTCAGTGTATCCATTTTCTGCATGCAGCCATTGAACGTTCCTCATAGAGATGCATTGATTCAATTCATCTCTATGAGGAGATGCTGATTGGCCAGGACTGTTTGACTTGTGCTGGCTCTGCCTCTGATCTGCCTCTGTGACAGTCTCAGCCAATCCTATGGGAAAGCATTGTGATTGTCTCAGACCACCTCTTCTAATGATGTCAGCAGACAGCAGGCAGATCAGAGCAGACGGGGCAGAGCCAGCAGCTGCAGACATGAATACAAGTAATATTTTACTATATTTAGGGAGGCATGGTAAGGGCCAGGGGGCTAGATGGTGGTTTTAACACTATATGGTCAGGAATACATATTTGTGTTCCTGACCCTATAGTGTGCCTTAATAAATCATTTTAAAAAGATATTAATCTATGGAATTAAGCATTTTTATAATTTTATAAGAAAGGTGATGTGGGTATAGTGCTTAGTCTAACCCTTGCAGATAGTTATAAAACAGCCTGTGAAAATAGCTCACATCTTACCTTTTACTTACTCTTTCAGTTTATAGCTCCACTTGTCTCAAGTGCACCAATCTTAATGATAAGACATGTGAGGGAGTGAGCGAGACTTGCAAAGATAATTCCAAATGCTTTGTGAAATCCGATCGCTCAGATTTCCGTAAGTACAAAATATATGTTAAATTTCAAAGCTTTATAAAGTATGAAGAATAAGACAAATATACTTTTTAACTGCTTAAAATACATGATGATAAGATGTATCAGCCAATACTAACCTGTGTAAGGACACAAGAAATTAGCTGGACCTGTCCATGTGCTTTTGAACACTCAGAAGCTACAACTATCGGCGCTTGGATTCTCCAGCATTGCAGGATTTACTTTCTTACTAAAATGTTGTACAGAGTCCAAGCACCATAACTGCTTTAGAACACTAAAGTGGTTGTGACGAAGTGCCCTTCGCCACTTGTGCTTGGAGAGGACCAATGGCTCGCCTTTTGCCTTGTGACTATGGCCCCTGTGTTAGACCCTGGTTCAGGACTAGGGAAAAACTGTTGTTTGTGCGTTTTTCCTGCAATGGTTCAGTGAATAGGGCTTGCCAAATGGATTATGCTAATGGTGTTCATTTACCGAACAAACTGACGAATGGCCAGACCACCCACAAGTGGCGTGTGCTGCTCGTTGACCTCCCAGGAGATGTGGTTAACCGCAGCTTAATTGGGGAACGGCTGGGTGGTCGGCGTTCGTATGAACGAACACGTGGCGGCGGCCATTTTGTTTAGTAGAATGCGCTCAGCGGTGGTTTGTCTTCGAAAGCCTGGAACTATTTTCGGCTACTATTTCCACAAACACTACTGAGACTTCTACCTTCCGTGCGTTCGGCTAAATCCAGAAGAACAGAGCGCTATTCTAAGGGGAGAAACTAACGAACAAGACACTTACACTGAGGTAATGCACGAACTGAGCCGTTCATGCAATTTGTATCTACTCTAAAGGAGAAGATAGACCAGTCGCACAGCCCAAATCTATGGAACTGCTTTGAGGCAGGATAACCATGCGGCGGTCGGTCAAATGTGACTTCCAGCTATCTCCCGAACCACTGAACCGATTCACATGATTTTTGGATATGTTTGTTCCCTGATTATGCTGGTTCAGAAAATGGAATTGCATTTATAGTTATGAAGTTATAAAAGTTATGTAAAAAGTATATTTTTCGCTTGGAGATAATTGAGTTGATACTGCAATTAACTGAATTATCTCCCAAGCAGAGGGGAGGAATTTACTGTAATGAATGGGAGTGTTTAACTGTGTAACTGTAAATGATTGGTTGTTGAGTTTGTGTTTGCAGTGCCCAACAAGGTCCATATGAGTGGTAACCTTGGGGGAAAACTTGTATATAATAAGGCCTCCATGCATTCTGTTCCTGCTTAACCCTCAATCTAGAGTCTTGTCTCTTATTGGGGGAATTGCTATATCACTACAAGGGATTGCTATGCTCTTCATACTCCCTTGGATAATCACTACTAAGCTCTTTTAAGAGTTTGTTCCTGCTTCGCTCTCTTGGAGGAGAGGTTCACCCACTGGAACCTGGAGCCTTGTCGTAGGTCCAGGGTGGGTAGGAGATGGTGAGACCCCAACCAAGCTGTGGCGGTTTGTATGGCCTGCAGTGGTTATGGTGTCTGGTGGAGTGCTTGGAGCCCTCAGGAAGCACTAGGAGCATCCATCAATGGAGGTACCCAGTCAGGGTGCCAGGTGGTCCGTTACAGTGGTCATGGTTCTAGGAATAATCTTTTAAGAATTGAGATAAACCAGAGATGTTTTTTAGGGGAGCATGACAAGATTCAGTCTTTATTGTGAATTAATGTGGGGAAGAAGGAGAAAGCCAAATGAAAAACTAAGCAAGATTGCTCGGACAATTTACTAAGAGAGATCTCAGGAATTGCAGGGGATTTTTCATACTAAGTTTGGATTCTGTAATGGGGTTTTGGTTAGATAGAGGCAGTATGACCGTCAAGGATACGTTGGTAAGTGTGTTATCCTCATACATATGATATGAAATTTCAAACAATTAATTTGTTTGCTAAGAGCAAATGTGTAGATGGAAAAGTGCAATCTATTATGAGACCTTGAGTTTAAGGTACCCCCAACAGAGAGAGGTAATGGGTGAAGCATCTAAGAAAAATCCAAAAAATTATCTGAGAGATAAAATTTGTCCCAGGAAATTGCTGCTTTACATGCTGGAACAATATCAACAGAATCTCTAGAAATTATTTTATTTGTGATTTTGTTTATGTAACAAATCCAATATACAAATGTATTAAGCGTTCGTGAAAATTATAATCGAGTTTTCTCTTGCAATTTTTGCTGTGAATAATTTTTATTTTTTTTCTGAAATAAATATGAGCATTAACTACAAATATCCTGATTTATTCCGGCAGCTGGTGAACATTCCAGTGCCATTGTCAAGGGATGTGTTGATGACACCATAATCTGTGGCTATGCGGGTTCTCTCGATATTGGCGGCACTAATCCTGCTACAATTACAACAAGTATTAAATGCTGTGATGGGGACGACTGCAACTCTTTTGGTTATGACAGTGAGTGGCATTCATGTTTTAAACAGTTACTTTTACATAATATGTTATTTATATTATATACATATATTATCAATTTATGGTCGTAGAAGGTGACATGCTCAGTTGTGTGAAGGTGGCGGAGAGGGAGGTAGAGCCGATATGGTATATAGGAACCCTAAACCTCCCCCTTCAGTGCCGCTATCTTCTAGTCACCATACTTCTTCAGCTACTTCATATGAAGGATACCTTGAAAGTGTGTGATCTTCTATAGGTAATCTTGCGCATGCACAATAAGCTGGATGATGCATCAAATGTCACAATTTATGATTGAAAATAGTGGTAGCAACTCCATCTTTTTACAAAGACTGGCAATTACTTGTGAGAAAGTAGTCACTACTACTGTGCATCTTTAAATTTAAATTTAAAGAAATCCCAACACTGTCAGAAAGAGGGTTTTTTAATATAAAGATTTACTTTGTATGGAAAGTTTTAAACATGGTCGCTTTAAGCAAGTATTTATTATACTTTGTATATTTGTTTACCTTAGAATTTAAAGGTTGAAAACTGGGTTCATGCATAAAAAATGTGAATTAAATATCAAGTTTGCATGCATTATATTGTCGTTCAAGGGTAAACAGTCACTTCTCTGGAAATTCTGACATTTAAGAACATATTTAAAATCACCTATAAACTGTATTAACCTTTTTATGTTATAGCAATTGACACACATCACAAGCCAGCACAGTTCTGGCACCTGCCTACGTGGGCCTGTCCAGTAGGGGGTGCCTGTTTTCAACACTTGCAATGTGTCATTTTGCAGTTAAATTGGCTGGTGAGAGATATGTATCAGGAGCCTTGGCCTGCAGTCCTTAAGGAGCCTTTAATAGCAGACCTGCAGAAACTATTCCAGAAAGTGTAAAACCCGCTGCTGTCCTAACTTCTGCAATCTCTGTGTGTGAGGCTGGACAGGAAGAGGAAGGGATCCTTTCCCATCTGCCCACTAGTAACCCACCGGTGATCGCGATCCTGGGGTCTGTCTGGGAGCACAGGCAGATCCCCACTGCCTAATTCAGTCCTCGCGATCACATGGCCGGAATAGCCGGCTTGTGTAGTGCCTGTAGGGGACCTGCCTGAGCTCTCAGACAGTCCCCCTAGTGCCTTCAAAAAAGTTTATGAAGTTAATAAAAGTTAAATAAACGTTTATAAAGTACATACAAAGTACTTGGATCATATATGACAAAAAACGGTCGTTAAGGCAAATAGGAGCCCTGGACTTAACTGGACCGGCGATCCGTAACAATCATGGTCGGTGGGGGGGGCTGCCGGAGACACCAGCAGTCCCCCTGCAGCAGCTCCGGCCACCTCGGCCCTCCAGGGCCATGTGATCACCATGATCAATAGAAGCATTAGGAGTCTAGGAGCTGCCAGCAGGGGGACTCTCTGAGCTGTAAGACAGTCCCCCAGGCTGCTATAAAGTAAAAATAAAATAAAAATAAATGTATTATACATATGTTATATATGTATAATATATTATAAAATAATTAAAGCATTTTATAATATACTATACATATATAATGCATATATATGATTTCATTATAAGTGCACTTTAACCCCTTCCCGACCGTGGACGGAAATTTTCCGTCAACCTTGTCCTTCAGTTAAGGACCGTTGACGTAAAATTTCCGTCATTTTCTTAAGTTAACCCCAGATCGCCGCGATCGCGGCAATCGCGGGGTTAACGGTGCTCCGGTCTGCCTCTGCATTAGAGGCAGACCGGGAGCACCCGATCGGGCTGCCCCAGCACCGGTGCTCGCTCTGACAGCATGTCAGAGCGAGCACATGTGCTCCACATACTCACCTTCCGCCTCCCTGCACTTCCGGGTTCTGTGTGAAGTGCAGGGAGACGGATCAGTGCTGATCTGCTTCCCTGTGTAAAAAAAAAAAAAAAAAATTAAAGTTAAATCCCACCCCCCCTGCCCCTGTTTTAATAAAATTAACCCCTTCCCTGCCAATTGATCACTGACTACAGTGATCAATTGGCAGGGTATACATTTTAATGTCATCTGATTTTTTTTTTTAACCCCTGAGGGTTAATTATTTTTTTTTAACCCTAAGGGGTTAAATTTATTTTATTAATTAATTTAAATATTAAAAAATTATATATTTAGCTAGCTGGGATGGGTGGAAGTTAGTGGGGAATTGGGGAATTTGGTGTTAGGCTAACTAGGGATTAACGTTAAAAAAAGTTTTAAAATAAGCTTTAAAAAGGTAAAAAAAAAAATTTTTTAAATGTTTTAGTAACGTTTAAGTAAAAAAAAAAAAAATACCACCCCCTTTACCCAGTCTAAATAAAAATTAACCCCTTCCCTGCCAGCTGATCACTGCCTACAGTGATCAAAATACAGATCACAGTATTATACTGTGATCTAATTTTTTTAACCCCTGAGGATTAACTTTTATTTATTTTTTTTAACCCTCAGGGGTTCCATTTATTTAATTAATTAATTTAAATATTTTATAATTAAATATTTTGCTAGCTGGGGTGGGTGGGAGTTATGGGAAAATGGGGAATTTACGGTTAGTGCTGCTTACTGCTAGTTAGGGGTTAACGGTAAAAGAAAAGTTTAGAAAAAAAATTAAAAGTGTAAAAAAAGTTAAGATAGTGTAAAACATTTAATAAGTAAAAAAAAAAGTTTAAAAATGGGTTTTACAAAGTAAAAAAAGTTTTACAAAGTAAAAAAATACATTTAAAAATGCTCATTACCACTACACTTGGTACAAGCTAGCGGAAATATTATCCCACGCTAAGGTTCAAAATATGCCTTTGAATTACCCTGGGATGTCTTCTTTAAGAAATGATATGCCTTTATGGTGTAATTGGATGATATAGCCTTGTAAAATACTCTAAAATGGGACATGGACACAGCGTAAAAATTCAAAGTTTGGAAAAAACTGGAATGGCTGTGTCTCAAATGTGCCCCTTCAATGTCCACATATACCTGGCAAAGGTACATACGGGGGTATTGCTGTACTCAGCGACATAGCTGAACAACATATGAAGTAGTATACAGTCGTAGTACACATAAGGTTTGCAAAATATACTGCGCAAACTCACTTTGTGTGTCAAAAAGGCAGAAAAAATGCTTATTACCACTACACTTGGTACAAGCTAGCGGAAAAATTATCCCACGCTAAGGTTCAAAATAGGCCTTTTGAATTACCCCGGGATGTCTTCTTTAAGAAATGGTATGCCTTTATGGTGTAATTGGATTATATAGCCTTTTAAAATACTCTAAAATGGGACATGGACACAGCGTAAAAATTCAAAGTTTAAAAAAAATGGAATGGCTGTGTCTCAAATGTGCCCCTTCAATGTCCACATAAACCTGGCAAAGGTACATACGGGGGTATTGATGTACTCAGCCGACATAGCTGAGCAACATATGAAGTAGTATACAGTCGTAGTACACATAAGGTTTGCAAAATATACTGCGCAAACTCACTTTGTGTGTCAAAAAGGCAGAAAAAATGCTTATTACCACTACACTTGGTACAAGCTAGCGGAAAAATTATCCCACGCTAAGGTTCAAAATATGCCTTTTGAATTACCCCGGGATGTCTTCTTTAAGAAATGGTATGCCTTTATGGTGTAATTGGATTATATAGCCTTTTAAAATACTCTAAAATGGGACATGGACACAGCGTAAAAATTCAAAGTTTGAAAAAAAATGGAATGGCTGTGTCTCAAATGTGCCCCTTCAATGTCCACATAAACCTGGCAAAGGTACATACGGGGGTATTGATGTACTCAGCCGACATAGCTGAGCAACATATGAAGTAGTATACAGTCGTAGTACACATAAGGTTTGCAAAATATGCTGCGCAAACTCACTTTGTGTGTCAAAAAGGCAGAAAAAATGCTTATTACCACTACACTTGGTACAAGCTAGCGGAAAAATTATCCCACGCTAAGGTTCAAAATATGCCTTTTGAATTACCCCGGGATGTCTTCTTTAAGAAATGGTATGGCTTTATGGGGTATTTGGATTATATAGCCTGGTAAAATACTCTAAAATGGGACATGGGAACAGTGTAAAAATTTAAAGTTTGAAATGAACTGGAATGGCTGTGTCCCAAATGTGCCCCTCCGATGTCCACATATACCTGGCAAAGGTACATACGGGGGTATTGATGTACTCAGCCGACATAGCTGAGCAACATATGAAGTATTATACAGTCGTAGCACACATAAGATTTGCAAAATGTACTGCGCAAATTTACTTTGTGTGTCAAAAAGGCAAAAAAACGCTTATTACCATTACACTTGGTACAAGCTAGCGGAAAAATTATCCCACGCTAAGGTTCAAAATATGCCTTTTGAAATACCCTGGGATGTGTTCTTTAAGAAATGGTATGCCTTTATGGTGTAGTTGTAATATGTAGCCTGCTCAAGTGCTCCAAAGTGGGCACGGACGCATCAAAACCCTCCATGAAAATTCACACTTAAAAACCTTAACTTGTTACGTCTCTTTTATAGCAGTGTAACTTCACAAAATAGTGTCTAGGTCATACATTGGGCATATTGTTTTACTCAGAAGACTTAGCTGAGCATAATTTGGGGGGTTTGAACTTAGTGGCACATATGAAATGTACAAAATGCCCAGCAAAAATGTAATCCGTATGTAAAAAATGCCCAAAATTATTTTTTACCACATACTTTGGCATATATTGGTGAAAAAATGGGGGCATGTTAAGGCACAATATGCACCATATGAGATACCCTGGAGTGTCTACTTTTATAAATGGTAGGCCTTTGTGGGTTTTTTTGAACAGTCAAACTGCTATAATACCCCAAATTGAAGCATAGGCCCATTAAATCCGCCTCTCAAAATTCTACTGTAAATGTTGAAACGGACAGGTCTCCTATATGGCACTGTAGCTTCACGAAATAGTGCCAAAGACATACAATGGGGGTATCGTTGTACTCAGCAGAAGTAACTGAACACAAAATAAAACTTTGT